AAAATAGTCTTTTTGAGTTTGTTTCATCATTTTAGTATGAGACCAATAACAAGACCACTATGTATTGCAGGTTTTTAAAAGATGAGTATCGAATGACAAAAGTATGTAAAAAGACTTTGTAAGGGTGTTAAACTTCAGACATTTTTATGGTGTGATAGACTCCCCACTGTTGTAATATGCAGTTAGAAGGTTTAATCTGGCACATAAATATGAGATAGCTGGTGTGAACTAAGGATGCCGTTTGGACCAAGGAACAGAGCAAAGCTAATTGGCTACACGGGAACTCAACCCATGTCCTTAGCCTCATTAACTGTGCTCTACTAACTAAGCACACTGTTACTCACACAACCTACCTTTCACGAGCCTGGATTCATCTGGGCATTGATGACATAGAGGTGAGTGATCCTGGTCTTGGTCCTCAAGGGACATTCTAGCATGCAGTGCCAGGCAGATGCATAAATAAAGAGGTAACGTACTTTATAATAAACTAATGCCGTAGTAGAGATTTATAAAAATGCTAAGAAGGCCCAAAGAAGAAAACCACCAACATTGACAAAGGAAGTATGGTATTTTCATCTTGTTATTGAATTTGTAGGACCCCAAATTTTTACATCTCAAAACACTTGCTGCTGCTGCTGCTAAGTCACTTCAGTCGTGTCTGACTCTCTGCGACTCCTTAGATGGCAGCCCACCAGGCTCCGCCATCCCTGGGATTCTCCAGGCAAGAACACTGGAGTGGGCTGCCACTTCCTTCTCCAATGCGTGAAAGTGAAAAGTGAAAGTGAAGTCACTCAGTCGTGTCCGACTCTTCGAGACCCCATGGACTGCAGCCCACCAGGCTCCTCTGCCCATGGGATTTTCCAGGCAAGAGTACTGGAGTGTACTGTATTGGTCTTTATCTTTCTGGCTGATTCATGTCAATGTATGACAAAATTCACTTTACAATATTGTAAAGTAATTAGCCTCCAACTAATAAAAATAAATGAAAAAAAAAAGAGTATTGGAGTGGGTTGCCATTGCCTTCTCCACTCAAAACACTTAAGTGCACTTAAATCTATATGTTAAATAATTTCCTCATTTGGAGATTTCAAAGAACATTTTCCTTTCTTTCTTCCCACTTTTCCTTTCCTCCCTCCATCCCTCTCTCTCTTCTTTTTCCTTAATTGTAAACATTTAATATATTTCAGCGTCTATGGGTCAGAAATTCAGGAATATCTTAGCTGGGCGTTTCTGCCTTAGGGTTTCTCAGGTGGCTTCATTCAGCATGTCAGCAGGGCTGTAGTCATGTCAAAACTTGAATGTGGCTTTCAATTTCAGCTTTCATAATGGGTTGTGCACATGACATTTGCAGGGGGTCTTGGCTCTTATCCAGCTGTTGGCATGAGACCTTAGTTCCTGGCCATGTTGACTTTCTCCTAGGCTGCTTGAGCGTTCTCATGACATGTTAGCTGGCTTCTCCCAGAGTGAGCAAGAGGGAGTGGGCGAAGGAAGGCTGTGGTACTCTGTGTGACCTAACCTCCAAAGTTATGCACTGATACTTCAGTTCTAAGGTACGGTTTTTAAGTGACCCATAATTTAATGGAAAAGTTCAAGAATAGAACTTAATGTGTGTTTTACTATCATGAAATCAACATTTTGATTCTGCAAATCAACTTAGTGTGTACTTTACTATCATGAAATCAACATTTTGCAAATCTTTGCAAGTTGCAATGGATGGGTTATTCCAAAATATTTGTTCCCCTATATATCATGCAGTTATACAGAACTAGAAACGTCAGCTTGCTATTTTAGGTGTAATCAAGTTTATGTCCTCAGGCATCTTGACAGGTCATCAGTGTTACCAATTCATTTGAATTGATACAGAGAGCCAATAATTGGTCACAGTTTTGTGGTTTTTTTTTTTTTTTTAATATTGAGGTCCAGTGATTGGCTCCCAGTTCTCTGAAACAAAGAGTGAAGACTTCTGGAAAGCTGAAAGTACATTTCAGTTCACACAAGCTGATTTATGCTTTTTCAAGAATTCTTTTGTTGCTTAAAGCCAAATGCACTGGCAATAAGAGAATTATACAAAAATGGCCCTTTTACTCAATCTTTTTGGTTTAGTCAAGCTTTACTACCAATAAAAAAAGACCGATGATCCAGACAGCTTGCTTTTCTCCCACCTGAGCCATAAATGAGACAAATGATCTGGCCTAGCTTATGACCTGGGATATGGGAGATGAATAGTACCCTTGAGGTTTTATCCATTCTGAAATTACAGCTGAAAGGATTAGAAGAAAATAATTTTATTGTCAATCTGTGATTAAGTTTTGGGACATTATATGTGAATTGCAGGTATATACATGGAAATCAATTGTTTACTCTCCTCTGTTGTTTACTGCCACTAATCCAAGAATTCCAAAAGCTCTTTGCAGAAACTAATGTGTCTTATTGATAAGCATATGCAGAACTCTAACTCAATGCTGCATTTATATCATAGTGATTATATATTATTCGAATCAGATACTCAGCAGGTGAAAACTACCCATCAAGTGCCAAGGAAATTCTCCTAGGGCATGTGGTGTCCTTTCAGGTCAATGAAGTCATCAAGGTCTGTCATTCTTTCCAGTTGTGACATATTTTACTAGCAACTGGTGTCCCTCAGATACATGATTCCTGCCACTTTCAGAGACGTAAACCATTTCTGTTTTGAAATATATAACCAGAATGTTGATGATTAAAGTTAAGCAATGCATTTATCAGCACACACACACACACACACACACACACACTGGCTTTGGAGCATTCCTCTTAAAAACAGACCGACAATGATTAACCCTGTTCTTGTTTCCTCTATGAGTATATTTGAGTTAGCACAGTATTTTTCACACCTCTTTTCATTATACTATGTTATATGTTCCGAATACCACTCAGAGTTAAGATCCTCTTACTTGTATTTTCTTCTGTATGTTTGAACATTTAAACCACTGATGTGTGTGTGTGTGTGTGTGTGTGTGTGTGGGTACATGTACATGTGGTCGCTCAATCATGTCTGATTCCATGGACTGTAGCCTGCCAGAGTCTTCTGTCCATGGGATTATCAAGGCAAGAATACTAGAGTGGGTTGCTATTTCCTCCTTCAGAGGATCTTCCCAACCCAGGGATCGAACCCTGTCTCTCTCATCTCCTGCACTGGCAGGCAGATTCCTTACCACTGACATTATATCCCAGTTTATTGAGGACTTATATATATATTGCACTAGGCTGGGTGCTGGAGGCTCCCAGCTGGTGATTGCCTCAGCACTTTGTTCTGGGTAATGCACACCAGAAGAAGAAGAAAAAGGACTCTGTGAATAGGTGTTCTTTCCTCTATGTATTGAAGGACACTCTTCAAAACTGTGTATTGGCTAGCCTGAATTTTTCTGTATAAAAAGTCAGGTTTTGCCCTACAATCCACTTTCAGGTTTAAGAGTTTTCCTTTGCTACTGTTGAATGCTAACAGCCGGGGGCAGCAGAGCTTTGTGTCCTGGCAGCCACTCTGGTGGTGCTAAAGGTGGGGATCACACTGCCCCAGTGTTTGCCCCCTGATGCAGCTCCTTAGACTTTGAGCAGCTGCTCGAGTCCATTAACAGTCACTTAAGCAGCAGGTAGAGAAAGCTGTGCTGCTATGAATTAAAGGTGGGAGAACTGAGAGGTGGGAAGGACTTGGCTACCAGCACCTGATACACACACACACACACACACACACACACACACGGTGTTAAATTTAGGGGCAGTTTTTTTTAAAACAATCATAGAGATATTATTTGGTTGTCATATACAGAAGATTGAATGGTTTTTGCCATAAGTTTTGCCAAAAATGTGATATCAAGCTTAACTGTTCGTTTTGCTAGTAGCTCTTCATTGTATAGCAAATATGTAGGCAAAGTAGTCATTTCTAAAGTTGGTCACTTTAGAATAACCATCCTTAATGGAATAGCTATCCTTAAATGCACTGAAAAGTGGCATACAGATCTGTGTTTGTGCTTCTTATATTGTTTGATCTCAGCTGATAGTTGAATGTTCAGTCCTGGAACCCATCCTTCTATTTTCTGAAAAGCTGAGAAAAGTAACTAGGAGAAAGCCAGCAGACCAGATGCAGTCTAAAACCTACAAATTATTCCAGGACTTAAGCTTCTTGAAGTCTCTATTTTAAGATCCAGTACTTTTTTGTGTTTGTTTCAACAGGAGGGTTAGAGGATAGAAAATGCTTTATTGATAGAAAGTGGGAGCTGTTACTCCCCCCACCTCCTCCACTCCTCAAAACTAAAAAAGAAAGCGAGGCCATTCAGTTCCTTGCCAGATCTGTAAAAAGCTCTTATCAAATGGGAAGACATTATTTCTAAGTGAGAAGCAAAACCTCTGTATCACTCTAAGTTTTCTACCATTTCCCACTTTGATGTGTGTGTGTGCGTGTGTTTAATTCAGATTTTTGAGCAATCATCTTCAGATGGATTTCCACACATTAAAAAGAGGAAAACCACCTGAACTGAGATCTCAGCATCTCCTCCCTGTGAATAGGGGGTTCTGTTTAGCTGCTTCTTGGTGGCTAATTGGGAATTATACTGCGTGCAGTGTACTTATAATCCCAAGCAGAGCCAACTACATCTACACCAGTGATTACTACGCTATCTGTTACCAAATAGGCTGCAAACGCGGCCAGCCCAACCGACTGTAGGACTGGCTCCTAGGTCATCACTCAGCGATACCGAGAAAATCGGGCAGAGGAAGCGCCAGCGTTAGAGGCGTCTTCCCTGGAGATGAAGCTGCGCCCCACACAGCTAGCTGTCAGTGCGGTGGTGACGGTCACACCCGGCAGCGGCCGCAGCGCACCTCCGGAGAGCAGGGGCTGTGGCTCGGCCCAGAGGCGCTGCCGGGTGCAGCGGGCGCGGCGGCAGGAGGAGCCCAGGCGCTCTGGGTAGAGGAGCCTGGGGCTCGCAGCGTCGGTGCTGCATTCCCCAGAGCGGCCGCGGCAGCGCTGGGGAAGTTCCCAGCACGCACTCAGCCGCGCTGCTCCTCAGCCTCAGTTGTCGATGAGCCTGGGCGCGCCTCAACGCGCGGGGAGACAACCCCTTTGGCTTTCTTAGAGACAGAGATGAGAAATGAGCTGCCGAAGGAATCTGGCAAGGAGGAGAGCGAAAGGCAGTTTGGTGCCAGCAGCTAAGTTGTAGCATTGCTTTGGAGGCTGCCCCGGGAGCACAAGAGAATTTGACAAGAACAGACACCGTCGCAGACCCCAGGCGTGCCTGATTGCACTTGAGTAGATCGCTGGGACGCAGCCTTCGCTCCAACTATCTGTGGCCGACTAAAGGGAAGGAGACTAGAAACGGGATTGCAAAGTGATATTCCTGAAAGGAAAACACAGGCACTCGAGAAGGAGGGGCGGGGGGACAGCCCAGCTGGCGTGTGCGTTTTTTTTTAAAGGAGAAACCCTCAGGTATGTTCTCTCTTTCTCCATCAGCGCTGCCTCATCTGCATGGGATTGTGTGTGTGTCTTTCCTGGTCCACTCTTGTTGTCTGCACTTTAATTCACAACCAGGGGATTCTCCTAGTAGTAGATGAATTTATCAATGGTCAGCTCTCCTGTGTTTATAATAGAGTTGGCTCTGTTGAGGATTATAGACTTCTTCGGCATTGCTTTATTTTAAATGCAGAATGATAAATGATTGCTTAGTTTCTGCTCAACTTTCAGGGGAAGATCTGCTCAGGGAAAAACAAAGCTGAGATAAAAGGCTAGGGCATTTTCTAAATCCTTGGGATTCAGGGGAAGGATGAGGGCTAAACAGTAAAGAAAAGTTGAGGGCTTCTCGGAAGGGGTTAAAAGCCAAGATGTTATAGACTAGCATTGTTGTCACCCAGGTGTTTTTCCAGCTCAGCATCCAGTCTGGAGCAACTGAGCTTTACCAGTGGTTCTGCATTTCCAGCTCTTGATCAGTCCTTCAAGATAAAGATCCTGCAGATTGGCTTTCAAAAGATGAAATGCTCTAACTGTGTACTTGGTTCTGTGTTACAATTGTTCTACCCTGCCTAAAGAGGCAGTCTAAAAAAAAAAAAAATCATTTTGCTCCAACAGCTTGAGTAAACCCTAACTTCTGCAATTACATCATCTATACACTTGTATAATAGAGAGAAAAACAGATTATGGTAACAATAGTTAATGTTGACTGCCGTTAGTACCTAGGCTGAGATGACAAAGCTCAAAGTCACTTTTCCTTATTAGGCTTTTAAAGGAAAAAAGGAAAGTGGTGGGTGGGTAGCGCACATAAAATGAGTTTTTGAAAATACCCTGTATTTCTTTAATAACCTAAGACTGTACGTTTATCTCATTTTTAATTAATAATAAATTCAATGCTTTAAAAATAATCCTGACATCTTTTATGCTTAAATATAGTATTACCATGAAAGAGGGTAAAATTAGTAGTACATTAAACATATATGTATTTTAATTCAATGAGCTTTACTAGAAGAGAGAAACAAGAGAATGATAAAGTTTGCTACTTTTTAATATATCAAAGTATTTTATTTTTAAGTGTTTTGTTAATACAGAGGCTCATGCCAAAGTGGTAGGGCACTGATTTTTAATTATTGGTCCTACTTTATTATGGTTTAAAAGTACAAATGAAATAGAAGTAAATGGGATTTAAATTACAATTTATGTATACTGTAAAGTAAATCACCACCCTGCTCTTTTAAAACTAAAACCTCATTTTTGCCAACCATCTGGAGTGCTGGTTCGGGCCACCTAGCAGAATGAGGAAATTAGTTGTTTCAAAATTCCACACATTACTATAATAAAAACATCAAACTATGGTAAGCAACTGCCATCAATTCCTGGGTCAGAGAAGTGATTTGGAAGGTGGACAAAGAGTTGAATTTATGAGTGGAAAAAATTGTGTATTTCTTCTATGTTGACATCTTATGGGGAATGTTTTAATATCTATAGGTGAAACTATAGCAGCAGTACAACAGTAGTTTTACTGAGTCCATTAAATGATTATTTTTCAAAGAAGTGAGTAAACCAAGCTAAGATAATTTAAAAGAATATTAGAACTCTCATTTACAAAGTTTCCTTTTCATACTACAATGGAGTTCTGTTGAAAAAATAATTTTTATGAATTATTTTTGTTGGAGGATAATTGCATTGCAATATTTTGCTGGTCTCTGCCACACATCAACATGAATCAGCCACAGGTATACATTTCTCTCCTTCCTTCTGAGCCTCCCTCTCATCTCCCAACCCATCCCATCCCTCTGGGTTTTGGAAGAGGATAAACAGGTATGGTTTATTTCCTAGTATTTGATTATTCATTGTTAGGCTTCCATTATAGAACGCGGTAACTTCTTCCAGAAATTGTCATCAACATGTGATTCAGTAAATCCATGCCTCCATGAAATATGAGGTAAACATGTTAGATAAGCCTAGAGAATCCACTTTTCATGTGTCTATTATTAACAAATTACTTACATTTCTAGGCTATATACTCCTTTCTGTGGTTGTTAGTCTTAAATAATGAAGTAAGTGTGTGATGCCTAGATCTACTTGTTTAAGAGCACATGGAACATTGTAAATAGATGGCAACTCTGGGGATTCCTCTTTCAAAGACAAATTGTATGAAGTATATGTGTGTGTGTGTGTGTGTATGTAGGGGTCAGTTGAGAAGGAAATAGCTTTTGTGTCTTTGATGATTTAGGATAAATCTGTGATTTTGAATATCTTTTTGCCAGTGCTCCATTTACTTTTATTTCTATTGACCTGCTCAGTTAACACAATGCATACATCCACCATGAGCTCCCATGGGCATTCTATTACCTCTGCGTTGTCTTCCACTTTTAATACCATCAATTTCTATTATTCCTTCTTTCCATTCCGTTCTGTCTACTATGGAAGAACTTCCTCTAGAATCTATGAAATATGAGAATCATCTTCCCACCTGAAAAAACAATTGTCTTTCAGCTAGAAATTTTGAGATTTTAGAAATATATATGCCAAATTTATTTCTAAAACACACTTTTACAGGTGGAAACTCACTTTCTAACTGTATTATGACTTAAAACCTAATATCAACTTGCTTGAAACCATACATTTAAAACATCATTCAGCAACAATTTTAAGTTCAAGGCATTAACTTTGCATCTGTTTTTGTTGTTGCTGTTGTTACAAATCCTTCTGTCTCTTAAGTTTTCTGTGCTTGGATGGCTAAGCTCCAATTCCCTTCTAGCTTAAAAAAGGGGGGATTTATTAATAGCCCTCTCAGTCTGTAGCTTTTGAGCATGCAGAAGACTGAGCTCCCACTTCTGTAATCTCTATGGAGATAAGGATGCCACAGCAGTGCTTGCACCATTTGTCTTTGAAAGCATAGTTAGGAGGACAGGTGGCATTGTAGCCTGGAGATTGAAAGTCCTCCAGAGGAGAAGTAGAAATGAAGACACACAATTACTTCTCATTCTCTTGTGAAAATGATCCAAGAGGCATGTATATTTTGCATATCCTCATTACATTGTCTAGTTTGGCCTCAGCATATAGAAATTATTATAATTTTGATATGGAAGACTATTTTGCATTATTGTGTCTATTTAGAGAATTAAGAAACTATTTTGTGGAATAAATGTTGGTTAGCAAGATATAAACTCAATTTAAAAAATTATACTCAGGATTCTCAAAGTATTTAAAAAAGTGAAGTATAAAAATGTAATCAGAGAAGATGGGTTTCTCTCTAAAATAGTTTGTCTCCCTTACACTTTCACAACCTCATCTTTGTCCTGTTTCTTTTCCCAACAGACAATCTCCATGGCCCAAGTCCTGTGTAAAACACCTTTTTTCCCCCTGAGTATTCTGGCTTTTGAATATTTGGGTGCAATATGTCTTCTTGATAGACAAAAAGTGTTTTGGGTGGATATACTTTGTTTCACGTATTGTTCAAGTTGAAATAACCTACTCTAGAAGTAACTTTCCCAGGCTTTTTATACTTAAGGAAGGGGAAGAAAAGAAAAAGAGTAAGCTAGGTGTAACTATTTCTATTGTATAGATGTTTCTGTTGTACGTGCCTGATGACTTAGGCATGATCACTAAGTTGGGTTTCTGAGACAGGACACTGTAAATTTGATCCTAGAAAAACTGAGGGAGAACAAACATGCTTTGAATCATGTCATTGTGCAGTGGTACGTAACTGAAAAATCTACCACTTAGTAAAAATTGCTAATCATATAGAGGACTGAAGCACACATTCTAATGAGAGTCCATTGCTTTTTGCTTTCTAGTAGAAAATACTGGAGTCAGTCAAATCCAAGTTCAGTCTCTAGCTGGCTGGGTAAACTCAGGCTATCATTTCCTAGTGTTGATTTCCTCCTCTGTAATGGAAGACTTATCTGATGCTCCTGGAGAATCAGTTCTCAGACTCTGAAATTCTATAAAATCTATGTAATGCAGACTCCATATGGTCAACTCCATTTGAAATGTGGCACCAGAATTACTTGACTCCAGTTCATTTTCCCCAAGGCTTATAAATATCATTTGCCTGCTTGATAAGCTGAAGAACCTGTACAGATCCTTTTTGCACTTTTAAGAAATCTGACAGCTTGTTTTCCTTTATACAACTAGGTTATGGTAAATATTGTTTTATTAATATTCCATATGACCTCATATTTTGTATAAGGCCCTATATTTGAGAGTCATAAAATATTTGCTGCAGCTTTGATAGATGCTGAAATCCTGCCACTTTAACAAGAAATATGGCATTTGGATACTTAGAATGATTTTGAATCATTCATAGAACAGTTTTGTTGAGAGGTTTTAAAAATAAAGTGAGTGCAAATACCCTACTTAGTCATTTGAATAGATTTACTGTCTTTCTAGCTGTCTTCTTCTGTATGTGCACACTCATGAGAACATGCTAGAAAAAAGGGGATTGAGGGGCTCTCTCATGGCTGAAGGCAGAGCATAGGAGATTTTATATTTCTGTCTTAATTTCCAAAAAGATTGCTTGGCAAGAGGCAAAATATATAAATTAATTTCATATATGTAAAAATAAAAATTTAATTCTAGTTGCTTCTTAGAAAGTGATCGATAGGAAACCCAACAGAGTGTCACAATATTCTTGGACAATAGGTGAAGAACATTTTTTTGATATAGTGAGCGATAAAACATATAATGTTTGATGGATAAATACAACAAGTTACAATAAACACATACATCGGTTGCTGGCTTCCTCCTCTTAGCCTTGAGTGGGAGCATTCTCTTGATCCTCTCTGTCTAGTCACTATTTTGGTGAGCTGAATTTATACCTCATTGAGGGGAATTACACTAAGGTGTTCCCACCAAAATTGAGAGATTCAGCTCTTCCAGTTTCTCCCAAATAGCTTCTTTTCCTGATTCCCTCAACCTCTCAGGCTCAAATCTCAAGTCATCATCACTGCCTCATACTCCCTCATGTCCTATAT